CAGCGTGTGTATGATGCCTTGATCTAAGTTCTTCGGTGAGCATGGATAGATCTTCGACTGTTTACTCGTTGTTAGTGATAGCCAGTATATGCATTAGGGTCGATTTTGATGTTCTACAAAATCTAGAGGTTTAGGCTTTCCGAATCACATTTGTGTGTTGATTGTATTTCCCTTCTCTTGATGTTGTCCCCTCGTTTGGGCGTTTTACATAGAAGTGAGTTGAAAGTATGTCAAACTTGACGTCTTTGCCTTGTTCCGACTGTGACTATCGTCAAAGACATCTTAAAGGACAGTACAGTTGTATTCACATCTGTAAAATTAAATCATCTGGTCTAATACTGTGTAAGTATAAAATTTATTCTCATGCTTTTTCTAAGGTAAAACAGCAACAAAATAGAAGTAAGGCTTCGAGATGTGATAAGGTGAAAACTGTTACTGAATGGGAAGGAAGGTAGTTGAGCGCTCACTAGAAAAATGTGGAGGTGGGAAATGTAAGGAGAATATGAGCGATTGGTTGTTTTGCTCTATCCTCTTGATAGTCATCTTTTGAACCGAAGTCAAGGTGAGAATTTATTCTGAGTGCACAGACTTGAATTCTTCAGGTGGATTCCGATGGCTTCAGCTATGCACAGAAAATAACGTCGTAAGGCTAAATTAAGATCATTGAGAATACGATAGATAACTACAAATGTCTTCTTAATATCAACTTTGTGACCAGTACCCACAAAGTACTCCGAAACAGAACTACAACTAGATCTCGTTCACCCTGTGCTCAATGATTCATTATCGTGTTCAGAAATCCGACGGTGAACACAACTTACTGTACTTCCGATTTGACTAGATCCACATGAGCAGCCGAAGTGATTGATACACACTGAGGAGGTGAAGTCAGGCAGTTTGCTTTATTTCTCAGATGTTAGATTGGAGTGATTGTGTGGAGATAATGTACCCCTGCTATATCAAATACTCTTTTCTTGCTGCATTGTTTAGGTATTGTGTTATTACTTCACCGTCGTTATCATCAGAAAACTGCAGTCTTATGAACAAGGGCTTCTTCGAGCTGCTGACACACCAGCTTTCCTTGGCGATGAATTTGAGTTTCCATCCATGAAATTTTATGGATAACAAAATTTTCACTGATCAGTACTCTTATAAATCATGTTGATTTCCCCAGTAGCAGCACTCAGTTTATAGAAATGATTTCGGGCAATATAATCTAGTTTCACAGTCAGTGTGGCACGACTTCACTCGATGCTGTCAATCTTCATTCACGAAGGATCTGACTTGACAGTAATTCAACAGAAACCCTTGTCAACCAGTTATGGGTTTTATCTCAAACCAAATGCTATACCAATATTAAGTAGATGATCATGTAATTGTACAAGTTGGGCATTGTATTATTATTATTGTATCCTTTAATTCCTACAGGAACATAGGGCTTCAGCCGTGCGTCTCCATTGCCTTCGATTCTCTGCCAGATTCTTCACCTGGCTCCATGTCTGCCCACACGTTTTCATCTCCTCTTCAAATGACCTCCTCCAAGTCACCCTTACACTGACGACCAACTCGCCGCTTCCCTTTCGGGTCCCACTCGAGCAATGGCTTGTCTAGTGATGTCACTTGATGGTTTCCTCAAAGTATGGCCAATGCATCTCCATTTCTTCCTGCCTATTTGTTTCACAATCGGTTCCTGCTGGGTTGGTTCGCTCCCAAAGATCCCTGTTGCTGATCTTTTCTGGCCATCTGATCTTGAGTATTGAGCGAAGACAACTGTTAATGAAGGTTTGTAATTTATTTGAGATGCTCTTTATGACGCGCCAAGTCTCTGATCCGTACAGTAGCACTGACTTCACATTGGATTTCGGCATTGTGGCAGAATGTATTTGCATATTGGATTAGTTTATTTTAATAATTACACAGTGAAGCAGTATTAACAACTGGATGATACCGTTTCGAGCATAAATTATTGCTGCTCAAATTCATATCAGCTTTAGTCACACACTTTCACAATTTGTCTTTTATATGTTTTCTCTCTTTATCTCTCTCTCTCTTCCAGTCCCTTTGTTGTTTGTTGCCACTTTCCATACCTCCGGTATAGGCGTTGCGCCACTCCGACAACACGTTTGTGGTTTCGAACCGATAAACAAAGCTTCAGTGATTAATCTCTCTCTCTCTACCTAACTATATTTTTATTTATTTTGATTTTGATTTACAGCTTGATTCCACACCGTATTTTCAGTACAAGTGTGGAACTTTCAGCATGGATATCGGTAGCCCAAATTCAGGCCGACCATAGATATCGGGTGTGCGCCGGCAGGGGATCGAACCCCGGACCATGTGCATGGTCGGCGAGAGTCCTAACCACTGTGCCACCGACGCAATCTTCCTGTCACACTCACCCTATTTTGTGATTACATGCAAGTGGATGCAATGCAGTGGCTGAGCTTTTTTCTAGGTTATTTAACTTAGCAGGGACAATTATTCTAGGTCTAGCTTAATTTCTATATTTCAATAATCTAGTTGACCTCGATCTACTAGTTTGACCTATGTAATTGGCCCCACTGCCATTACATGGTATTTGGTAAATTATTTCATTTTTCTCACTTAAATGGATCTGTTGGGTCGTTGAGTCGACAACGTTTATCCCTGAGGGAGTTGGTTGGCTGTTTTAAATGACACCCTAATTCCAGCCTCGTTGAGAATCGTACATAAGGCCTCTGACGTCACTTCTTTATACTGCAGTAGTATGAATGCTTGAATTCTATATTATTTTCGTCATTTTTACTGTTAATCTTAGTTTTTCTATGGTTCTTCATATATATTTGAATAAATTCTGCTGGGTAGTTATTCACTAGTAATACTTCCCGGTATTCGATAAAGTTAATAAAATTACTTATTCAGGGAGACAATCTAGTTTCGCAGTCAGTGTGGTATAACTCCACTCGATGTTGCTAACTGTCATTCATGAAGGTCCTGACATGACAGTAATTCAACAAAAACACTTTTCAATCAATTACGAATATTTTTTATTTCAAACCACATGCTTTAATTATATTGAGTGAGTGACCAGTCATTCACAATGCAAAGAAATCAAATTTCTGATTGATGTGTGCTTGACTGTGTTCATACTCGGAATTAACAAATTCAGTACGTTTTCCATCGTCAACTGGTTGTAAACCATTAAGAATATGTGCAGTAAGATTGAGTGTGAAGAGCGAACAAGCCATACATTTAAGTTTACCGATGCACATTTGTGCATCGTAATTGCTTCCAGTTTCCTTATAATGTCAGCTCGTTTTGGCGTTTTAAACGGGGAGGGGTTGAAATTACTTCACAATTCATATCCCACAGTAGTTCACACTCTAACCATATTTCGATTGAATCCTCCTCTCGCCTCCAAGATTCTTTCTCTCCTATCTCTTTTCTTTCCAGCTTATTATTGATTTCCTCCCCTCTTTGTCCCAACTGTTTTAGCTACATTTTGCTCCAATGCATACCCTTCATTCTAACATCCTGTCAATACTATCGAATTTTCCACTTATAGTAGTCTCACTTCGTCTAAGTGATCGTACCTCTTTTCTCAATTCATGACTCCACATCTTTCATTTATTACGCTGATTATTTCATGATAAACTATTCACCGCAGTCTTCCTATCTCCTATTTACAGCATAGTGGTTAGTACGACTTACCCAAAAGACACGTTTAACAAACCTGAACTAGCTCCTCTATTCTCCTTCGCAAATCTTATGAATCTAGAATTATAAATCATTATCGTAGTCCTACATTTATCATTATTTTGTAATCGAATTCAGCTCAGCACGATTGTCACTCAAGCACTAATTTTGCTGTCACCCTATACACCTATTCTATCATACTACGTAGGAAGATATCCGCTTCATAACTCACTATTATTGCAACGAATATGTATTCATTTTTCGGACCATATTTTCAGTCACTTTATCGGCCCAACTTCGAATTCCGCTCAGCCGAACTCTTGTGTCTTCATTTTCAACTTCTTTTATCGTGCCTGGATTATGGTGAACAATCCTAGCATTCGATATTTTGTGAGAAGAGATTACTGTTAATAATTCGAATGAGGGAATGTCACTGCATACTAAAGATCGTTCATCATATGTGAGAATGAAGGGACTTCATGGGTTGAGGTATTGTAGTCACCGGATATCACGAGGTTATTTACAAAGTGCTATGAAGCTAGTTAGTGGAGACAATGAACCTTACTCGCTCTGTTGTGAGTTGAGTCATAAGATATGAGTGATAAATCTGCAGAACAAAAAGCTGAATGATACAAAAGATGATGATAGATACCATTTATGTTGCCGACGATTTCATCCTATGTTATGTTCCGTATCAATCATTTGATTTATTAGAAATCTTTGATGAAGCCGTGAAAACATTAATTCCACTGCATAGTATGGGGTGAATGTAAAATAGAACTTCCTGGATGTCGGTGTAAAATGAAAAACAAACGACACATTGCAAGGATCGATTAACCGATAAAGTACATGCAGTGGAATGTACTTGAGTTTGAACAGCTTTCGACCGATAAAATACAAGCAGGCACTAGTCAAAATATTATTTCACAAGGTGAGAATGATGCCTTCCACTGACAAATCTGAGGAGATTCATATTTCTGCCATCGATGGTGATTAATGTTTGAGTGGGGTACTTTCATCAACCCTGTCTTTTATAGATTCACATAGGGTCCTGTCTTCACTACTTAATCTGACAAGGTGAATACAATGATAACTTCCAACCGTTTATTGGAAATTTTATTTTACTTCTACTCAAAAGTACACTTCGATGGATGTCATCATAAAACTGAGATTATCTACTGACAACTAGATCCTGCATAATGACTCCAACTTTATCTTTCTATCAATGTGTATGCAAGCTATAAAATGCTGGTCCATCCTGTCGTGTTATGACGACTTCACTGAGATCAAATACAAACAGATCAACAGGATGAAAACTAGTCAGATTGAAATGAAATGATTTATTTGAAACTTACAAACTGAAACAAGTTCCCTTTTATTTCGAAGTAAATTTCATCCATGTGTGAAATACATCAGTATTCATAAAAGAAATCTTCATCATCCCACAGGTCAATGCAAGTTGTGTAGGGTCTTCGTGAGAAGTATTTACCACTGGAAATAAGGTTAAAAATTGAATATACTATTGATATTTGACAGTATAATTTGCAATAAAAAAGTTTACTTTTTATACGATGTTTACCATTTCTATTAGAATTTATGTAATTCAGGTCTATTTCACCTATAACTAATTACGAATCACTATTGGTCCTGTATACTTTTAAATTCTCAGCTACTTGATTTTATCAACTTAATATTCACCGAAATAGTGGGTCTTTTGTTTGAACTAAATCCTTGATTGGTAATCACTTTTATCCAAGTTGTTCATTTCTATGAAAGTTTCCATACTACACAGAGCACAGTCTTCCTCTATGATGGGCTAATTGTCAACGACAGATTATTGTGGTTGATAGTCGTTGTGTGCCACCTTATAAACTGCGCCAGTTCTTGCTTTCGTTGATTTGTGCATCTATGTGTGTCTTTCGATTCACTGCTAAAGAATTCAGTTCAGCATAGAAAGGATTTCAACACAGACGCATTTCAAGTGATAAAAGTGACACGATAGAATGCATAATTGTCCATTGAATCTTATTGGTTTTATTTCAACAGTAGAGCATTCACCACCTATTCCATCTCCTCCACATGAGAACCACTCACTGATACACACTTATCATGGAAAGTGAGTGAGCTGCCGAAATCATACGAAATCAGATGATATTTATGGGAATATACGACGTCTCACTCACCACACGTCATGAAACAGGTAGAGATTAAAAACGCGTAAATACAATTTCAACTTGGTCGTTCACTTCATCCCAGCAGGAAGTCAGAACAAATGAATCGATTTTAAAGATTAGTGCCAAGAGCATTGACCCAAAGTCATATGTTATCCAGTAAGCATTGGTACTCAATTTGAACGCAGTTATCCACAAGCTGATTACTTCAGAAGTGTTTTCAGTGGATAAATATATTCACTTCAATGAAACTTAAGCAATCATTCATTCATGGCACTGTATTCCATGAAACAAGTGGAGAGTGAAATTTACGAACTGTACACCACGTAAATGAGAAGATCTAATTTGTTTTACATCGACCCACGGTTCATGTATCAGGCGAATACATCCTGATGACTATTCCTTATTGGAATAAGACATCTTAATGAGGTATTTCTCACAGTTTCGTCGTACTGAACCTCGATATTAAAATTTTACAAGAACTTAAATTCGAAAAATTGTAAATATAAAAAGGATAGACGACACATTTTGGGCAGTGGATCACAAATCATTCCCTAACTCGACATACCCGGGTCCGTAAGTACACACGACAACAGTGTTATTAGGTGCTTCGAAGTCATCGCATTTCTTATACGCACATCCAACCTGCACTGTTTCTGAAAACACCACCTGTAAAATGTGGACACCATAATAATAAAACGTATGTGTACATTCCCTGAAAATATCGGTTACTTGCAGTAAAATAACTCAAATGACTAACAAGGGCTTAGTTCCTCAGTTTTCTGAGGCACTTATTCAAAAACTACTGATTCGAATAGGAGGCGTGATGGTTGTCTCAAGGTACTACGCACTCTGAAGTATTTTTTGCAGCTTAGATAACATTCTCAGTGTGAACAATGACATGCAACGAATGAAAGCCTGAATTTACTGTGTCAACATCTCTGAAGGTGACAAGGCGTTATATTTTGTTCTATTACAATATCGGTCATTCATTGTGTGCAAATGCTTGAACCTATCTGTTCCGCTTAGTTCGTACTAAATGCCTCGTTTAGTGTAACGGTGGGGATTCAGTTCCTAAAATTATGCTCCATTAGCTGTCTGACATGCTGAGATGCTATTTCTTGAGTTTGGCTCCATTTCACGGAGTCCCAGTTTCTAAAAGAGGAGTAAACTTTAAATTACAGATTGTAATCTTCGTGGAAATATCTCAGCCCGCTTCTGCATTTTCAGCTAACAGTTAACGTCTTCTAAATCCCAAGTTTGTCATACAACTCCGAATACCTCCTTTCTAATAACTTCCACGAAATCTTCGAATGGTATTACATATAACGACATCTGTTGGAGTATTTATCTCCATCCAATCTGATTCATTTTCAAATCTCTGACGTTTGGTCACGATGAGAATAATGGTAATGGCTTCATTCCAGACAGTGGTTTTGATGTCAGGTTGAATTTTCACCATATAATATTGGATGTAATTTCCCCCTTCACATCACATTGAACGAGAGGAAAACTTAAGAGGAAATTTACATTGATCATAATGTGAATAGAGAATTTAATGCAGCATTATAATTCAGTGGAATTAGTGACAACAATATTCTGATGAAATAGGGATTAAAAGGGGCAGTTTACAGGGCGTCTCTCGTTAAATCATTAGTTTCATGCCTAACACATTTTTCACCACCTAGAATGCGTGCTAAATAACGTATCATTGAAATTTTATATTAAGTCGTCCAAGCATAAAGTCGTTTAAAACTGCTTCTCGTCCCATCTGATGAGAAGGAAGGCAAGAGTTGTTTATAAAAAGGTGCTGATAGTCTGACAAGACGATACTCGCCAATTTCTTGCATGAGTTGAAGTGTCATGTGATGAGCACGACAATGTCATTCATTTCGAACTGTGTCACACACTACGGAGTTTTACTTCTACATGTGTCGGTGTGAATTTCATTTGTCTGTTCAATCCACTCTAAACTGACTTACTTGTTTGTAATTTGCGCATCTTCTGTTTTCTTTACATTTGTTTGGTTTGAAATCATAGTTTGAATATTCGTTGAACCAGAGGGTCACAGCACTGTGAACGAAGGAACATGTGAGGAGGTAGTCGTCAATACACAGAAATATTGAAACTCCTTGAAAAATCTCAGTGGTTTTTATAAACTTGATCATGATCATCTTACAGATATTTCTCACCTCGTAAACTCTTTCGGTTTGGGTTTCTAGCAAGTGTATTTTTAATTGGTAGTTGTTAAAATTGGTTTAGTATCCCGCCAGGTATTTAAGGTACTCGTCTGATGCAATGGACTATACTCCGATTAGAATGAAGGAAAAGAGACGATTGGTCTTCTCTTGAAATTATTATTTGTAATCTAATTACCTAAAGAAAGTGATTCTTACTCAACTGTTGAATGAATGCGTATGAAATATCTTAACACGCAGATTATTCTTCATACTACGTGGAATTACAGTCAAACAGACATTCTTCTATTCTAGAAATGATTTGATGGAACAGACATAAATATTTCGGATGTAGTGGAAGTCGTTTCAAATTTGCTGAATTAATTAAATCAGTATGCACAGTAGAATATGCAAATAGAAAATCTGCAATTAAGATTCTTCTGTCAGTGATGAATGAATGGGTATTGTATTGAATTCACTCTGGATGTCATACAGGAACGAAATCATCTGAAATTGTGATATGGAAATCAAGGATCACTTCACTAATGTTCCATTTCGCTTCAGTGAACATAATTTTATTCGTGTAAGAGTGAATATAAGTCATCTGATACTTTGATACATTATAAGTAACATAGTACATTACCTAAACAACCTGATTTCACTTGATTCCTCGTCCACTGTTTGAAATATACAACTTGACTGGGCTAATTATGTGTTCAGTATCTACTTCCAACATATGTTGTAGTAAGCTGTCATAGGTTTTATGATCTACACTTGTATCTAAATCCACATGAGCAGTAGAACTCGTTGACAAGTGCTAATGAACTTATTGTCTGTTGCCGATACTTGACTTTCAATGTGGTGAGTGCTTTCCTTGAGAAACGGATGACAAATTTAATTATTATTGTAAGTGTTTTTTCGAGAATTTAATCTTAAATATATTAATATAATTGGTATATGTTTATGTTGAATAACTTACTCTCTCACATTCGAAGTAACAGCGACATTCTGACCGACATAATTCCAAGATGTTTTACCTCTCATTGTTATGTTGCTAGGATAAGGTTGACATGTTGACGCCCAATTCCTAGAAATGTCAGCCAATTCGTAAGACCATGTCTGGAAGAAATGATGCCGACATAATTGGTGATGAGTGAATTAATTTCATTCGGAGTAAGTTGTGAAATTGATGAGTATAATACACAGCTCTTTATGTATACACATATGTACACTTACGAGGTTTGGCATTTGTATTGCAGGTGGTTGATTTTGTACTTTACCATCCCATACTGCATGTCGATATGCATTGTGTAACTCCAGTAGTCCATAGTCTTCCACAGTCAAATCTTTATCAACATCTGCTTTAATGTTTATCAAGGAAATGATAGTTAAAATGAACCATTGGATTAATTGCATTTTGAATTATGATGGCTGTTTATTTCAGATGTGTTTACCCATTCAATTTATGTGTTTGCTGAGTGATAATCTGACCAATTGAATACATACAGACTATTGTATTTCTTTGCTAAGCACGATGATAGTGAAAGTGCGTAAACCGTTTGTCACTACTGTGTTTATTTACACTAATACTACTGATATCGCCTTATGTTCCAGATGGAATACAGATCTTCAACAGTACATACCCATTTCATCCTATTTTCTATATTTCTCTTTATCTGGACCTACGATAGCCAATAAACACTATCATCTTTTCCTCACATGCTCTCCTTCATATCAATCCCCGATTCCCACGTCATCATTTTCAATTCGGGCCCCATTCGACTGCTTGTCTGGCGCCTGGTTTCACTCAGCAGTCTCCTCAGTGTGTTTCCAAACCATCTCCATTTTCTTCGACATAATTTTTAGGTAATTGGTTTCCGATTGTCGAAATTCCTCTTCTCTTATCTTGAGTATCTGGCTAAGGTCTTTATTTATAAAGTCTGTGGCCTGTTGGAAATACTTTCCAGAGCACCTACGCATGTCTCTGAACCATCTCGAATCAGTGACACCAGTGTTGAAAACACGAATATTACTCCTAATGCTAAAGGCAGCAAATATCCACATACATTTCAAACTTATGAAAGAAGATCTGGCATGCTTTTCTCATCGCATCATGACTTCAACATCCTCATCTGAAGTCAAGCTAGACAGCTGAACTCGGTTGTATACTCTTTCCGATGAGGATGATTAGAGTTGCGATTTGATCTGTACATGATTTCCTCCTCCTGAATCTAACTTGTTCCGAGTGGAGTTTTGCATCCAGAAAATGTTTAATTCTGTTCAGAATGACACGAAGTAATATTTTGCTTGGCGTGGGCAGAAGCATGATTTCAAGTCAGTTTTGCAAAGGATAAAGTTGCCCATTTTTGGTAGTCTGTCAAGCTAAACTTTCATTCAGTCAGTATGTATCCTTCCTTCCTTCCAAACGTTGTGAAGCCGTGGCGTGAGAACACCAGCGCTAGCCACCGTTTTCAGTGCTTCTGGAGAAATCTCGGCCAGTCAAACCGCCTAGCTTCCACTAAATGTGTGACATTAGAGACTGCTGTTATCACCGACAGTTTTGTGCCTGCTGTTAATCTTACCTAAGTGCGAATTGTAAATAGCGGGAGGTTTAGGAGTCATTTGAAACGATCAGCCAATGGATTTATTTGTTTGTCCTATTTGGTAATAAGTTTCCCTCCACTATCTTTTATCGCTTCCATCTCTCTTTACCTATCCACAAATAGAGACCTGGTTATCTGATATTGTCAATTGAGGTCCCTATTGCCTGCAGCCTGTTCAATTTTGGTTCACAGTGTATCGTAAAATTGCCTTTTGACTTTATCAGCACTCTTTCCACTCCTTTATCCAATGCGTTGTAATTTGCTGCAGATTCTCCTTTCCTTGTCCATCTTTTCACTGTTTCACCTTCTCTTTCAGTACTCCCTGTTTCGTCATAACTGTGGTTCTTATCGCTATCTTTTGGAGTCCATGGATCATCTGGAATACCTCGATGTCAAGTAATTCTTAGGGATTCGGTAGACTAAATGTCACCCTTCAAAACAGGTACTTAACCCACTGGCTCCCTTTTATGACGGTTATTGGATCATATTTTGCCACACTTTAGCTTTGGATACAGCTGCATCGTCTTGGTGATATGTTGTCTCATGGACATTTGAATTAGTCACGGGATGGCCATGTAAATATTTTGTTGGTAGTGGATGGCTGGATGAGTTTCATCTTTCGTTATCGTCGTTATTTCTTTAAACTACTATTATCACCACCACATAATAATAAAAGTATATTCATTACTCAAACTCCCACAACTCGAAATACTACTTCTATCACCGAATATTTATAATATGACTGTGATTATCGAGCAAATAAAAGTGAATTATTAACATCAGTTGTGTTTATGATATTAATTCATTGAATTCCTACTTATCAGTTACAATCATTAGCGAGTTTGATTATGTTGAGCATATTGTTTTCGATAGGGCTTTCATTAATCCCACGCAATCACTTTCAGAATGGCCCTACTACTCTGTAACCTTATCTATTATATGATCCATGCTGGTGGCTAGTTTTCGTTGGTGTGATTATTGTGTTAAGAAACATGAATTATTCCCATTAGGTCACTTGTAATTTGAAAAAACTTATTCACTCTCTCTGTCTACCATGGCCCACTATAAGGTCACCAGGATCATAATTTTCCGTATTATTATTAACATTATTATCATTCTGTGATATCATGTCTTTATTATCTATTTCTCCACCCAGTTTATTTCACCTCATTGTTACCCTTAATTTTGTCAACCTTTGTGATTTTACGCTAAGCCTACCAACTCTGTAACATCTTATTACAATTTACAATTTAGCCTCTTTATTTTATCACTAGACATTATCGGTCAGCCATCACATTCATTGTCCCCTTTGTTAATGTGTGTTTGTATGTATTTTGTGGCTATCACATTTCTCTCACCCCAATGACACTTGTATTCTGTTGACTATAAAACAGCACTATATCACCTAATTGTTCATTCACACTTGATCACATTTTCTGACTATACACCCTATACACATTTGATTGATTATGTTAACTGATGGACTATCATCTCAACTTACACATGCACCCCAATACACTTTCTGATATTATTTTCATTTGCCTTTATTGGCTATATGTACTCGATTATTCATGGATTTATAACTGTAGAGCCTGAAGAAGAAGTTATCGAAAACAATTGTTCGCTCAAAATCTTCCATAAATGTCAAATTGACTAGGGGTTTAACTAAGTTGAGAGTTTTAAAGCTTTGCAATAAAAAAATCAACCAGCAGAGGACCCAGTGGTTATCCCACCTCAATGCCATCTCTCTATCTAGACATCTCATTACTGAACGTAAAGTGAACATTCAACGTGCATTTGAACAAAAGTTCTTCGAGGTAGATTGTAGACAATCCTATTTCCAAACTATGTGTATCAATATAATCACATATATAGCAAACAGTTTCTATGAGAGGTACATTGATAAATAGCGAAGCCACATCTAATGAGAAAATTACTTTGTCTGAGACATTAAAATCTTTAATACCCTCAATAAATTTAAATGTATCATCAAAAGAAAACTTAGACACTTACCTTCTAACTGGGTCTAGTATTTCAGCTAGCCATTGAGCAATTCTGTGATAAAGAGAACCAGCCATATCGAGAATTGGATGGACGGGTAGTTTTGCCTTGTGAATTTTCGGCAGCCCATAGGAACGTGGTATTATGGAGCCAAATAGTTGGCTGTGTTCATTTAGATCTGACGAGATTATTGACTTATTCCTCATGTTCTTTGAAAAAATCAGTCAATTGATTTTCAGTTATATGTGCCTCGTTTTTCCACCGTCGGGTTTGGCGAATTCCATTTGGCCAG